CTTCCGAAGTGACCGGTTTGATGAGGGCCCTGTACGACTGAGTCACTGGCAGTCAGACGGTGTGGAGGCCAGCATCCTCGTGGAGCTGGCCAAGCGGGCCTCGGGACCCATCTGCCTGCTGCTGGCCTGCCTGCTGTCACTCGTCTCAGCTGTCAGTACCTGCTGGTAGGTGCCCCTGGGGCCAGGGTAGGAAAGAGTCAGGCTCCTGAGTCCTAGGTTCACCCCTCAGTGTGTAGGGGGGCATGGAGACCCAGACAGGCCCTTCTGAGACTTATGGCTGTCTTCCCTTACCCTACCTCTCCCAGGTTTCCTCCCTTGGTATCTCAGAGGATGTTCTGGTGGTGGCTGCTGTTCTGGTGCCCCTCGCTCCTGGGGAAGAGCCAGATTTCCTGGCAGTGTCAGAAGTTGTGTGGGACCCACCATGTAGGGGTACTGTGTCAACCTCAGACAGCTCCAGCCCCTGAGAGGGAGATGAGACAATGGACAGACCGAGTTGTTGTCACCTGAGGGGCAGTGTTCACCCTGCCTGGGAGTTGTCTGTTCTCCTGAACACACGCAGGCCTGCCCGCTTCCCTGGCCCCGACACCCGCAGGAGAAGCAGCCCCGGAGGCCTTGGGAGTGTATCCAGTCACTGACAGCCATGGGTGTGGGCTGGTACTCCCCAGCCTCAGCCACTCTCTAAAATCACCTGGAACACTCCTGGCTGTGGGCCCAGTCAAAAGATTTGCAGAAACCCCTGAAGGCCCTGGGGAATGCTGGGGCAGCACCAGAGTGTTCTGGCTACTTAACCACAGGGCCTGGGGCTGAGCTACAGGGGCCCTTTTCTCTGTGAGAAGCAGTCTCGCTGGTGGAGAGCAGCTGTGCTGCACCCTCAGGCACCCCTTCTCCTTAGGTCCAGGGGTTCAGGTTGTCTGGATTGGGGACTGACCCTGCATAACTAGGGGTTCCAGGAGCACTTGGGTCTGTCCTGGCAGAGAGCCCTTGGCAGCTGTGTATAGACAACGCCTTGGGTTGTGGGGGCTGCCAAGGGTGAGATTTTGGAACTTCATGACTCTCTTGGAAAGAAGTATATGAAAATGTGTCTGGGCCTAGGTGCAGTTTTGGGGAGAGAAGGTTCTTAGCATTTATCAGCTTTCAAAGTACCCAAGAAAGGTTGCTCATATGCCCCAAATATGGATTAGCCCATCCATCAGGTGTTCATCATTGACTGGTGGTGGTTACAGTACAGGGATGTTCACATGAGGCATGGCTGTCACTGTGCAGTAGCGAAGGCCCCTCCCCGCCCTCACCCCAGGGCAGGCCCAGGGATATTGTTGAGGCCCAGGCTGCCCAGGGCTGGTCTGAGCCTTGGGGAGACCGGTTTTTTGGTAGGGGTCTCTGTGCAGCTGTGTGAGGCCACATTCTACTTGATTGGAGTTGAGGAGGGAGGAGTGTATGCTGAGTGCATTTCATTTTTGGAATTGGTTTAAAGCCACTTGGTTGGCGATAAAGCCTTTAAACTAGAGGTCTCCAACCTTTTTAGCACCAGGGATCGGTGCTCCTATGAGAATCTAATGGCTGATGATCTGAGGTGGATCCGAGGCGGTGATGCTAGTGCTGGGGAGCAGCAGCAAATACTGATGAAGCTTCGCTCACTCTCTCCCTTAGCCTGCTGCTTACCTCTTGCTGTGAGGCCTTGTTCCTAACAGGCCACTGACCAGTACCGGACCAGAGGTTGGGGACCCCTGCTTTAAACCTTTCAAGCCTGAGACCTCTTGAGGTCACTTCCTGAGAGTCCAAGTGCTCACTAGTTGGTGGCTCTGCACTTTGCACAGGCCTTTTCTTTTTCTTGCCAACAGCAAGGCCATGCATGAGTGGAAAGGGGCTCTGGGCACACCTGAGTTGTGTTTTGTCACTTTCTTCACCTTTGCTTTCAAGCATCAATGTTTGAACGTCTGTGGAAGTATCTCAGTGCTTCCTCCGCCTGGTGAGAAATCAGTCTTATTGGACAGCCAGGGCAGCCAGGGAAGCCCAGAGAACCTTGACAAGGGTCACCAATCCAGCAGGGCAAGGCTCTGGGTGGTGAGACAGTGTGTTCTCTCTACTCCTAAGGTGCAGGTTTACCCTGAGGTTAGCGCTTTGTGAGACAGTCAGGCTTCCAGTTAATGGTTATGAATGTACCATGGGCCCTGCTGAGCTGCCTGTCTGGGTCCCCCTCCCTGTGTTCTTGCCGGGCTGAGTTCAGAAGTGTTTGGGGCAACAGGGCCTTGGACTGAGCCTGGCCTGGCACTTCTTATCTGCACAGTGAAGAATGTTGGCAACACCGAGGTGGCCTTCACTCCCTGACTGGCAGGAGAGTCCTACGAAGAGCTGAAGGCCCATCCTTCTCTGCTCCTTTGCAGGGTATTCAAGCTGTGGCCATTGTCCTTCATCTGGAGCAAGCTCTCCACATGTGAGCAGCTGAATCATCGGCTAGAGCAGCTCAAGCTCATCTTTAGCCCCCAGAAGGCTGAGAACCCCTCTCAGCTGATGAGGTACGGGGTCTGCCCTGGGTCTCCTCTGCAGCAGCCAGATACCCTACAGGCCCAGTTTCTTCCCCATCCCCATCTCTGCACCAAATCCATATGTGCTGACCCTTTCTGGCCAGGCCACCCTCACCACCCACTCCCGTTGGAACCCTCCACCCTCACCACCCACTCCCGTTGGAACCCTCCTTTTAGGAAGGCCAACATCCTTGTCTCCGTGCTCCTCGATGTGGCCCTCGGCCTTACGCTGTTGTCCTGGCTCCATGGGAAAGACCGCATTGGGCAGCTGGCCGATGCCCTCGTCCCTGTGGCTGACGTGAGTTGGTTGGGATGGAGCCAGGTGTGGATTCTGGCACCCGTTTCTGGGAGTTGGGGTGGGGCCCTGCCTGGGGGTAGCAGAGGCCCTCCAGCTGGCCAGAGCAGTTCTCATCACTGACCCTAGACTATTCCCCTGGGAGCTACTATGTCTCACAGGGGCTACAGATACTTGGTCCTGCCAGGTGCCCACCCTCTCACACTGGGTCACATTGAGGCACCTGGCCTCCACCTTTCCTTCCTAAAGGTGGCTGTGTCTGGGGGCCACCTTGTGGTAGAGGCTTTTACGGGGAGCGTACCTCCCTCTGCCAGGCCCAGTGTCATGGGGTCCTTGTTGCCTCCCCCAGTGAGCGACTGTTTCTGCTCTCTTGGCTCTTTGGAGTAGCTGTCTTTTGGCTTAGGTCCTCTGCATGGTCAGCATCATGGAAACCTTCCATGTGTCCAGGGCTGTCTGTGTGCAGTTGAGTTCTGGCCTCCTAGTTTGCTGGTCATGTTGTTCTGTGGTTCCTGTGCTGAGAGAGGCACCAACTCATCTTCTGTGCAAACAGACTTGCCCTGCATGTCTAGGCAACATTTCCAGGGCCTGGGTGCCACTCCCCCTTCTCCCCACCACGGTTGTCCTTCCAGTGTCCACTTGCTGCATTTCCATGCTGGCTACAAGCCTCAGCTTCTCTGCCTCCCTTCCTCAGAGCCAAAGGCTTTGTCACTTCTGTTGGGAGCTTGTTTTCCTACTTAGGGCAGTCCCTCTGGCCCCTAGTGCTACTCCTAGGCCTCTCAGGGGCCTCCTGTGGTCAAGCAGCTGAGACCTGACTGGGTGGCTCCTATGGGCTCAGCCTCTGCTGGTCATCATCAGCATCCAGCCTTGGGTGTTTACTGGGCCTGCTTGTGCCTGGGCCAGACCCTGTGGGCAGGAGTCCTCACAGGCCCAGAGTCCCCATGGCTTCTTGGGGTGGCCTGGCCAAGAGGAAGGAGGAAGGAGAAAGGAGGACCTGGAGGTTAGAAGGGGGCTTGGCTACCTCACCTGCTCATCTATTGCTTCATCCTACACCTCCCTTCTGCAAAACTGCTCAGAAGTATAAATATTTAATTTAAAAATGAAAGCCTCTTCCTGCCGCCAAGCTTTTATCCTTTAAATTTTAAATAAGCTCTATTTATAAAGAACGTTCCTCCTCCTCACTGCTCCTGACATGGCTGAAGCCTTCACACAGGGTTGGGAGATGCAGGCAAGGCGGCAGGAGAAGGGGGTGATGTCAGACCTCTGACTGTGGGGCAGGGATGTTACTCCTGTGGCCTCAGCATTGGTAATGAGGCAGAGGGTCCTCAGGGCCTGCCTACTGGGGCCAGCACAGCCCCCAGACCTTGGCTTTCCTCCACGGGCAACCAGGACGCTGGTCAGCTTCTGGGGAAGCTGTGAGTGTCCCTGTGACATCCCTGGCTCTCACTCAGCATTGATCTTGACTCTGAGTCTCCATCTGTCCTTTTCTCTAGGGGACCTACCAGCCCTCCCACCTGCTACCTGGGCCCCTGACAGGCTTCACACTATCACGTTCACCTGAGGTCACCCACTCAGGGAAGGCCTAGGCCTCTGCTATTGCAGGTGGTGGGGTGGGTCCTTGGCAGAGGAAGACTGGGTAAGCCCATGGGCTCCCCTTGCAGGATTCATGGTGAGCCTGGGTCTGTCCCACATTCTGGTGCCTGGGGCCAAGGGCTTCTGTGGGTCCAGCAGCTAGAATGGTGAGATGGAGGAAAAGACACCTCATTTGAAGGTTGACACCCATCATGGGCCATGCGTCCAGTGGGCCAGGGGCAGACTATCAATCTTGTAGGTCATGCCTATCAGCCCCGCATTCCAGAACATTTATGAAGAGGGGTTTTATGGCCAGACAAGTGTGTTAAACCTTATGTGCCTGTCATCGTAGGAGATGGCAGTCCAGACACTTGGAGAAGGGAACTTAGTTCACCTTTGCCCTGTGCAGATTGGCTGGCCAGGGTGGGGCCCAGTTTATAGACAACACGTCCCTCTGTGTTCTCACAGCGTGTGGCAGAGGAGCTCCAGCATCTGCTGCAGTGGCTGATGGGTGCACCTGCTGGGCTCAAGATGAACCGGGCACTGGACCAGGTGCTAGGCCGCTTCTTCCTGTACCACATCCACCTGTGGATCAGTGAGTGCTGGCAGGCGGGCAGGCCTAGGGGCTTCACCTGGCTCAGTGACCCCTGACTTGGCTTCTGAAGCCTAAAGTCCCAGGGACACAGGCCCTGGCCAAGAGGGCACTGGGGCCCAGACCTGGTGCTCTTCTCTTGGTCCCTGCTTCCTGCCTTCTCCCCATCCTGGGTATGTGGAATCCTTCTATGCTGGATTGATTGCTCTGACAAGGGATAGCCAGTGGCATAGTCTGTCACACATAATTTCCTGGAGCCTCAGGTACCAACCACAGTAAGGACTTGGCAAGGACCAGGATCTTCTTGGGCAGCCCCTCAGAGTCAACCCCTATCCTCCCAGGCTATATCCATCTTATGTCACCCTTCATTGAGCGAATCCTATGGCATGTGGGCCTCTCAGCCTGCCTGGGCCTGACGATCGCCCTCTCCATCTTGTCGGACATCATCGCCCTCCTCACTTTCCACATCTACTGCTTCTATGTCTATGGAGCCAGGTGGGTATGTGCTTCCTGCCCCTGTAGGCTGGCCTAGTGCAGCCCTCTACATATTGGGTGCCACAGACAGGCTCCTGGGGCTGGGCAGATACAGGTTTGGCTTGGCTCCCAGGCCTGCCCCTGATTGCACCCATGTCTGCAGGCTGTACTGCCTGAAGATCTATGGCTTATCTTCACTCTGGCGCCTGTTCCGGGGAAAGAAGTGGAATGTTCTGCGCCAGCGGGTGGACTCTTGCTCCTATGACCTGGACCAGGTACTGGGCAGGACTGCACGGAGCGGGCACCCTGGCTCCAACTAATTAGCATGATCTACAGGTGACCACTCCCAGATCCAGTCCAACTGGCCCCTCTGAATGGGCTTGGCCATGGAGCTGCTTTGGTACCACATGGGGGCAGCTGTACTCCTGTCCTGTAGGTCACCTGCCACAGGGTAGACATCAACCCTGGGAAATGTGGGGAGTCTGCAAGGGGCAGGGTATATGTGGGGCTTTTAGACAGTGCAGAACCCTGCCCTAGGTGGGCAAGAGACCCTGCTCTCAGGAGGCTGCTGGGCCCCAGGGAGTCACTGGACCGTGGGCACTAGAGGTGACCTGTGCAGTGGACCTGGAATAGACTTTGACAGTGGGCCTTGGAGGTGACCCAGACAGCGGCCTTGGCTCTGGCTCATCCTACTAGTTCATACCTGACACACAGACCCTGAGTGCTATCCTTCAGGGCATTTTTTTTCTGCCTAATTTTCACAACCCTTCTGTCTTTAGTGTGTGTGGTTATATACCCTATTGGCTGGTCCTCTGTCCCCTGATCCTGTCTGCTATGTGTCACCAAATCTGGAGGGCACACAGTCATAGCTCTCCCAGTACTGGAAAGAGCTATCGAGAGTGAGCTTTCCCAGGTTGTCTCAGGAAGCAAGTGTCCCACCAGCAGGCATCCCATTTCTGCTTAGTTATAGGTGGGAATGGGCAGCAGGGGTGTGGCCAGTGCTGGTGGCTGTCATTGACTTGGGGTTCCAGTTGATGCTGATGTTGGTATCCCTTCTCCTGGCAGCTGTTCATCGGAACTTTGCTCTTCACTGTCCTCATCTTCCTGCTGCCTACCACGGCCCTGTACTACCTGGTGTTCACCCTGGTAAGCCATGGGGGGCTCTGGGTGTGGCACCTGCCCAAGGGGCTTTGCCCACAGTACTTAGAATGGTCACTGCCAGCTCTGCCTGCCAGCCTGCCATTCATGGGCAGGCTATCATCCACTGCTGTAAGCCATGTGGTGTATGGCTTTTCTAGACTCTCTGGGCAGTGTGTTGGGCGTAGGAGTGGGTAGGGTCCTACCCTGGGGGGATACCACCCACTGCTCTGGGACATAGTTGAGCACAGGGAGGACAAGACCCATGGTGGGTGGGTCACAGTGGTGTTCTCCCCTTAGTTCCTAAAATGGGTGGTTCGGACAGCAGGAAGGGAACAGCACCTAGGTGGCTTCCGCCGAGGGGCCAGTAGCTCATTTTCCTGGGTTGGAACACCATCTCCTCTGACCTGTTGGGAAGGCTGACCCTCTTACCTACTGCTTCCATGCCTTCTCATGCTTGGGCTCAGGTTCAGCATGGGATTCATGATCTCCCAAGGCTCTTGAGGCCCTGGTCACCCTACATTGTGACCCAGGACCTGTTGGGCTGCTTTGCTATGGGCATGCCTGTGTGGCTATGGCCACGATCCCAGCTCAGAGGCCCTGAGCACCATCTGTGCTGCAGCTCCGGCTCCTGGTAGTCACTGTACAGGGCCTGATCCATCTGCTCGTGGACCTCATCAACTCCCTGCCACTATATGCACTTGGCCTCCGGCTCTGTCGGCCCTACAGGCTTGCAGGTAGGTCTGTGTACTGGGTGTAGGGGATTGTATGCCTGTGGGCCCTGCAGAAACACCAATTGCACCATGTGTGCCTCCTGCCTAGAAGTGGTGGTGTATGTGAGGTGGGTGGGCAGGGAGGACAGAGACCCTTGGTCCTAGGGCATCTTCTGGACCAGCTGCCTGCAGTGAGCAGGTGGGAGAAGGCTCAGGTAGTGCTCAGGTTCATAGACCAGAGAAGTGGCCCTTCCTTTTTTTCACCCTTTTCTGCGACAGTGTGAACAGCTTCCCTGAGATCCATAGTGGTGTAGGTGGTATCTGAATGTGGCTCAGAGAAGATGTGTCCCCATGTAGTTGTGTGGGGCTATGTGTGCCTGCTGGTACCTCTCAACCTTGGAGGGTCAGGCCAGGATAGAGTACACTGGACTGACCAGATCCATGTGACAAGAGTGCCCTCTTGCCCCATTCCCAGCAGACCACTACCTGCTGGGACAACACCCCCCATCCCCTCTGCAGGTGGCTGTCCATTTGCATGCTAGCTAGCATGCCCCTACATGCTCCTGAGAGAAGGCTACCCCCACTGCAGAACTTGGGAGGCCAGCTCAACTGATCACAAGCTTGTGGATTGGTGCAGGGACTTGGAACATATCAGGGAGCTCAGGGAGTTCCAGTATAGCACCTATCCAGCAGCTGTTCAGATGGCCCCCAAAATGACCACAATGCCCAGGAGGCCCTGTACCCACCCAGTTTGCAGCTGGACAGCTTCCAGCCAGCTCAGAGCCAGAGGACATGAATATGGGTGTTCCACAGGCTTTGGACCTAAAGGCTGCTTGCTGGATGCCCTCAAACCCTCTTTCCAAACCACTTTCACCACAGGTGACCGGGCCAGGGACCCATCTATTGTGCTGCCTATGCTCATTCAGCCCTGAGCCTCCACCCACACCTCAGAATGCCAGGATAAGGCAGGTGGAGAGCTGAGATGCAGTACCCTCCTCCCCCAGACCCTGGCTTGTGGCCAGAGCAGAGTTGTTTCAACTTTACATGAAAGGCCACAGATGCCTCTGCCTCCTCTCTTCTTCCCTGAGTTTGCCTTGGGCCTCTTCATCAAAAGATAATTAGCTCCTGTTTCTCTTTTCAAAAAACCTTCCACCCGGGAATCCACAGGCTTGGGGGTCCAAACTGCCAGCCAGGGGCATGGTGGGTCCCAGTGGGTCACAGAAATTGGAAGACATTTAGGACAGCCGCCACCCAGCAAGTGCCCGTTGGCTCTATGGGGAAACCCATATCTCATCAGAAAGCAGCATAGGCTGTGCCCGCCACCCAGCTGCTGTTCCCTGTTGGCCAGACACTTGTTTTTTCTTTTCAGTGGAGTTGTGCAGGCGGCTTTGACAGCGGCCCAGCAACCTACTCAGAGAGGCAGATAGGAAGGATGGGAGGAGCAAAAGAGCCCAGGCAGCCCTCTGAGTGCTGCCCAGAGAGGAAGGGGCCTTCACTGCCAGAGCCCCTCTATGCACACCTGCCTCTGCTGACACAAAGAGCAGGAGAACTGATAGGGGCTGTCTGATGGGCCCCGAGAGCCCTGTTGGGGTACCGTCCTCCCTCACGGTTACCTTGTTCTCCTTACAGCCGGTGTGAAGTTCCGAGTCTTGGAGCATGAGGCTGGCAGGCCCCTCCGCCTCCTGATGCAGGTGAGGCCTTTGCGAACACGTCACACCACTGCCCTTGGATGGACCCCATGCCCTCTATGATGCTGCCTGTGTTCCAGGGCAGCTGGGGTCAGGGTCCTCTGTGCTGTCCTAGGTGTGAGGCATCGTAGACCCTGGGTAAGATGAAGGCAGGAGAGCCCAGCAGAGTTGAGGGGCAGGGCCCAAGGAGAGAGACTGTCATTCCCAAGGCCTCTGGGCACCAACCTTCTGCCTGGAAACTTCCCCAGCAGAGCCCATGGATGGGATCCCCTGCACAGTGTCAGATGCCTTTGGCTGCTTTGGCCCTGCATCCCTGTCACCTTCCCTCAGCCCCACGAGCTCTTGTTCTAGGCAGAATGACACGGATTTGATGAAGGCATTGGAACACACACGTGTTTTCTCTTGGGCTCCTTTATCTGAAATAGTCTTGGGGGCCCCCAGCCTGCAGGAGGGATCAGCCTACTTGACGGGTGACCCATTGGGTGACTCACTGGGCGCCAGTGTCAGGTCCAGGCAGGTGGGATTGGCCTGATAGTCACTGGGAGAGGTCAGATGCTAAGGCAGTCAGGACGCTGTGTGGTTGTCTCGATGTGCAGTATGTTCTGAGTCCCACCTGAGGAGGCTCCTGGGAGCTGCCTAAGTCCTGGAGTACAGGAGTCTGCACTTTGCGAGCCCAGCCACCTCTCTTCCCTGCAGCCTGCCCAGAGTAGAGCATTCCCACCAGAGTCGCTCATCTACCCTGTGGACCACAGGCAAGAGCACATCTGGCATGGAGCTGGCCCTACTCCACAATTGTCCAGACCAGGGACCCCCCCTAACCCTCCATGAGGGCTTGCCAGGCCCGGAAAGCTCAACCACTCCCCTTGTGCTTCCAGATAAACCCCCTGCCATATGGTCGTGTGGTGCACACCTACCGCCTCCCCAGCTGTGGCTGCCACCCCAAGCACTCCTGGGGCTCCTTATGTCGCAAGTTATTCTTCGGGGAGCTCATCTACCCTTGGAGGCAGAGAGGGGACAAGCAAGACTGAAGAACCAAGGCTACCAGCCTGCCCAGCACCACTACATGACCAAGGTCAGCCCTCCACTTTGCCATGGTGGCACTGACTGTTGGGCAGTATGTGGCCCTATTCTCTGCCTTCCTTGCCCCCAGTTGTTGAAGACCTCCGCAGGCCCTGTCAGGGCCTGCTTGTCACATCTCCAGACTCTGAGGTTGAAGTTAAGGTCGGGGGGTGGTGAGCAGGAGAATGTAGGGGTAGCCAGCCAGGTCAGCCAACTTGTGTTCCATCATGAACACCGTTTGCCTCAGGACCTACCTTTGATCTGCTGTGATGGCACTGTTAGCCTAAAACCTGCCTGCCCTCTTCAAACCCAGATCCCGCCCGGGAGGGGTTTGCAGAGCCCCACCTCTGCCCAGTGGGGTGAGCTGGCAGGTCTCCCTGGCTGTTCCACAGAGACCTCACCCTGTCATGGGGTGGGGGGACCCCTCCCAGGTTGCACTCAACAGTCCTTGAGACTCTGATCCCCAGGCATCTCCTTCCTTGGGGGTTTTTCTACAGATGAATTCCTGGGTCCCTGACACCTCCCAGCTGCCTCAGTGGAGCAGTGGCCAACCAATCTGGGGGATCCAAGCAGTCGCTGAACACTAGCCCACACCAGCAGCTCCAATGAGCCAGGGCCCTTCAGGAAGCTGGATGGCCGTGCCTCACACACTGAACTGCACAGGATTACTTGTGATGCTTCCTGGGGAGATTGCTTTGCAGGAGGAGCCACCCACAGGTCTTTGGGGGACCCTGTGTGAAGCCAGACTACATGGGGTGCCCGGCTCTGCCTTGCTATAAGCTTAGTGCCACCTGCCCAGCTGCCCAGTTCCTGCCCTGCACCTGCCCTGTGCCCCTGCAGCAATAGACCCCTTGGACAAATCTTCCACCTTCCCTCACTGGCTTCTTGTGGAAGCAGGCTGCTCCTGGGCAGATGCTTTTATGGCCCCAGGGAGTGGTCCTGGCTCTCAGGTTACATCTGCCTGCTGGCTGGCCGCAGAGTCTATGTGGGTGTGAGCCCTGGAATCCCCAGTGGGAGGAAGCCTGAAGATGTGACGGTATCACATGCAGTTTGTCATCTTGGAATTGGAAACTGTCCTATAGGCAGTGGGGGGAAGTGCTCTCTGTTCATCGTGTGCTCTCGGGACTATCTGCTTCTCCTGCCCACACTCCTTGGCTGCCAGCCACAGTAGGGGACCCCTGGGGAAGTCTCCACCAGCTCAGTGTCCGGTGGGACTAGTCCTGGCTCTGCCTTTCTCTGCTGTGACATTAAAGCCTCGCATGTGTTTGAGTGGGCCACTCTACCTTCCCATTGCCCCGTGTACAGTGGGTCTGGGGTGGGGCGGGGGAGCTCCTCCTGGGGTGATGGGACAGCTGGCCCTCACTGTGTTCTGAGATGACTACCTCATCTTTTCCGGTGACGCCAACATGAGGAGAATTGGGAGCCCTGTCTCATGGAGCAGGCCTCTCTGCAGGTCTGGTGGGTAGGTGTGTAGGCCCTGGCCCTTTGAAGATATTCTGGAGTGGGCCGGTGGAGCCAGGGCCACTTGCTCTTGGGTTTCGGCCTTGCCCTTGCATGGGGTCTCCCAGGGCTAGAGTGCAGGCCTTCCGGCAGGCGAGGATTGAGCCACTCCTGGCTCTGATGAATATGTCATCACCTGACACTCAAAGACTCTATGCATGGTAGGGTACTCCTGACTGTCTTACAGCCTCCAGGGACCCTCAGGTAGCCTCTTCTGCACCTGCTGTGTAGAAGAGGGGCTGGAGCCCAGGGAAGTCATTCAGCAACTCTCAGGCCTGCACCTTCACCTCCCAGAGGGCCCTGCATAGGTCTTGGTGGGCAAGGACTGCACCCCTAGCACCTTATGAGTACAGCCTCCACCACTTGCATTTCTGGAATTCAGTGAATTCTCTTCCTACCTTCTGTGGCCAACCTGCTCATCCTTTGCCCACTTTTGCCCCTGGTTCATGCCGGACATACATAAGGTTTCTGGCTTTGTCCACCTGTGGGACTTTAATGGGGCCTTTCCTTGGCACCAGGCCTGGACCAAGGCATCTAGAGTAACTGAAATCTTTATGGGTGCTCCCACAGAACCTGGGCACAGAGCTTTGGGGCCAAGGTCTGTTTGCCCCATTGGTTGAACCCCAGACACTTAAAAAGGAGGGCTTGGAGTACAGCATAGAGGGCAGTGGGTCTCCTGGAGGTGAAGGGCAAAGATATCCCAGACCTCTCCCTTTGTCCCCCAACTCCCCACCTGGACAGAGACTGAGTCTGGAGTCCTAGCCCCATCCTGTCCAGAGCCTGTGGGTGTGGGAGCTGCAGAGGAAACACTTCTCGGACTTACTTAACCACCCAACACGCAGGCTGCTCAGCAGGGCAGACCCAGGACTTAAAAGCAGAGGGCCATGTGGGCTGCTTCGTCCTTGGCCTGAGGCCCCTCAGTGGCTGGGATGCTGTCCTGTCCTTTCCTCAGTCCCCCAGGACTCCAGGACATCCTTGTACAAGGGCATACCACTACTTGGGAAGCCAGCTACTCTGTCCACAAGTCCTCCTGGATACCAAGAAGTGGTACCTCTCTAGCTATTCTCCCTTAACTGGGCCCTGCTGCCTCAGACCCTGTGGGTTCCTGTGGTGCCTTTCTGCTCTGAGGCTGGGGATCTGAGATGCAGGATCCCAGCAGAGGACCAAGTCTCTGACAGGAGGTCGCTGAGACCTGCTCCCAGGATCACACCCCGTGGACAGGCTCCTAACCTACAAAGCAGGGATGGATGCTCCACATGCTGTGCTGGGAAAGCTCAGTCAGAAAGTGCATTGCTTTGTCCTGGGCATTGGAGAACAGGCCTACAGCTGCTGGAGCTCCTTCAGGGGAGGTCCTGAGAGGTAAGAGGGCACTTTTGATTTAAATTCTCTGGAAAGGAGATGATAATAGCTTATCACCAACCATTCCTTCCAGGTAGCCTCAGAAATTGAGAAGGAAATATTAACTTCATGGTGCTTCCAGTTCTTGGAGAGGGGCCTGGGTGACTTCAGAGTAAAGAATGGGCAGGGCCAAGGCAGAGGTAGGCTTAAGGCTGGGCACAGTGATCCCTGCCTTGATGACCCCAAGGGCCCTCCCCAACCTGCCAGGTGGAGGTTCAGGGGTGGGCAAGCACCAGCTACTGGCTCCCCCTGTGCTGCATCAGTCCCTGGTGCCTCTGGGGACTTAGTCCTCTGCCCCCGGCCAACTGAGGGCCAACAAGACTGCCTATTGGCTGTTTTGGTAAACATGTGTTGTGAGTGGATGTGCCTTTTCTGTAAACATCAGAAGCCATGTCTGCTTGGAACCCAGCTTCCAAGGAACAGCCACTCCCTGGGAGGGAAGACATGGCCTAAGGAAATGCACAAGCAGGTCCTTCGGGGTTCCTGGTGGCTCTGTCCCTCCCTGGCTAGGCTCTGCTCCCCCAGCATCATAGCTTCCTGCTTCCCCAGAGGGCCAGGAGGACACCTGGCAGGAGACTCATTGAAGGCCCAGGCACTCACCAGGTGCTGCCCACCCAACAGAGGGTCCTGCTCCTTAGGAAGCCTCTCCAGGCACCATGCCAGAATGAAAAGGCAGTCCAAGTTACTCACTGCTCAGTAAAGGCTGTCTGCAGCTTTGGGGTGGGGGTCACTTGGCATGGGGCTGCCCATGCAGCAGTCTGCTATCTGTGAAGACCACCTATTGTTGGAAGGTACGGTACAGATGCAGTGACCTTTTGGGAGGAAAGTTCTTGCTGCTTGTTCCTCCCCAGTTGGATGGACCTGTTAGCCGGCTGTACTCGGAGCAGCACACTGGGGTGTGACTGCTATGATAACGGCTTGTTCCCTCTGCACAGATCTACTTTTTAGGAAGATCTAGTTCTCATGTAGTTTCTCCCTAGTGTGCACCACTCTGCACCTGGTCTAATAAGGGCTGTATTTGGCTCTGTTTTGACAATTCTTTTGACTTATTTTTTTTAACAGCTTTATTGAGGGCATATTTTACATATTATAAAGTTCACCCATTTCAAGTGCACAATTGAATGATTTTTAGTAACTTTACCAAGTAGTATAACCATCACCAGTTTTAGAACCATTTTTATCACCCCTTAAGCAGTCACTCACCATTTCCCCTTACCCCAGGCCCTGGCAACCACTAATCTACTTTCTGTCTATGGATTTGCCTATTCTGGGCATTTCATATAAATGGAATGTAACATTTATCAGTACTTTATTCCTTTTTATGGATGACTATAGACACCGTGTGGATATACCACATTTTGTTTATCCATTGATCTATCAGTGAATGTTTCGGTTGTTACCACTTTATGGCAATTGTGAATAATGCTGCTGTGAACATTCATGTATAAGTTTTTGTGTGGATGTTATGTTTTCATTTCTCTAGCAGTGGAATTGCTGCATTGTGTGGTAATTTTATGCTTAACTTTTTGAGTTACTTATAAGTTACATGTCATATGTGAATATATTCTCATAAAAAATGTCATCAATGAAGAGAAAGTCACTCTTGATCCTCAATCCTATAGGAAACAATGCTGTCCCTTTGGTGAGCATCTTTCCAGATCTTTTCCTACATGAGCATTCTGTTTCTCTTTATGTAAATCCAGAATGAAATGATTTGTTAGTTTTTTTAATCATAAATATTGAAATTACACAGGACATACTGTACTGTCATTTTCTTTCTTTTTTCATATCAGTGCTGACTGCACCTTACCTTGCTCACCTGGTCGACATAACAGCTCCCTGTCAGGGGACTCTAGATAGTTTTCTGACTTTCATCATCACTACAACACTGCAGTGAAATTTTTTGAGTTCTGAGGACTTCTCCATGCTAAATCAAATGTGGAATTAGTGCCTGTCCAACCTCCCTGAGGGCTGTTCCTCACATCCTGTCCTGCATGCGATGCTGTCAATCTGATGGGTGAAAGGATATTATTTTAATTTCCATTTCACATCTTCACACGTGTTCAGAGGCTTTTCATTCTTCTTTGCCCTTTCAGAAAAATAACCTATCCATCCCGTAAACAACCCCAAAGTCACTAGTCAAGCCTCAGAGCCCCACGCCCTGACTCCGCGTCGTGGGCGCTTCTGAGTCCCACCTGACCTGATCCGGATTCCGCTAGGCATCTGCCGCGAGCACTTGGGGGCAGGGCCCTGTCACTCTGAGGCTCGCGCCTGTGCTGCGATCATCTCTGACGGCTGAAGAGTCACCCACTCGCGGAGCCGTCGAGGTTCTAGAATGTTAGGCCTTCGTAGCCCCGCGCTGTGACCTACGGCCATGCCCAGGACGAAGAGCACACGCCGCAGGCCGCACCTCTTGTCCACTCGCGTTACCTGCTCATAGCTGTGGCACCCACGACCTCGGGCCAGCCACCGCCCCCTCGGCCCCGCCCCTATTAGCAGAGGAAGTCCCGCCTCCCTGGGCTCCCCAGAGCCGATTTGCCATCTTCATTCTGCCACGCCCCCACGGCGAGGAGGGCGGCTTCCGAAAGCAGTTCGCCCGAGGGGCCACGGCGCAATCTCTGGGGTCTCTGTGGAAGCAGCCTGCCGCAGCTTACTAGAGGATTTAGTATCCCCAGACCCAGTCCTGTCATCTCCCCTGGGAACTGCCACCATCCTGCGAGAAGGGAGGCATTCACAAACAACCTGGAGTTCCAAACTCCTGATTGGTGAGTATGT